AGTCCCGCGGGTTAACGGCGGCTTAAATTCGACGGTAATGCCCGAAAGTACCTTCGGGCTGGATACTCGAGATTCGCTTTACGCTCTTCCGCAGGAAGCGCCTTTTCCCTCGAAGGGACCGGCGCATAACCGTTCCCCGGAGCCGGTTACAAAATGGAAGCGCTACAGTGGACCCTCCGTCGTTATCTTATTTACACTCCAACTTCTCTAACAGGGTCGGGAACCGTCATCTTCAAAATTCCAACGCCCACAGGACTCGTTCCACATTTAAGTGTGCGTGCATCGCTGTAAGATAACCTGCCGCTCGTTCACGTGGCTGTGATGGCAAAGAACCTTCGTCCCTCATCTCAATGAAGCAGCGAGACCGACGTTAAGATTTTGAAAGTAACGTTAACGCTTATCCGAGCGCGTCGGTGAAAGAGTCTATTGAAAAGGCTCTCTTTTCACAAGACTTGAAATTTCCCTACCACGTAAGATGCAAACGTTTCGTTCCGTAATTAAAATTCTGTGTAAACTTTAATTACATAAAAACAAGCAAACAGTATTTTCATACGACGCAGTTTTATGAGAAAGGAAAGAAAAACACAACGTTGCCTATTTACGTTGAGAAACTGGGTCGTCCATAGGATTAAGAACAGCGAGGTCGGAGTGTGTACATTTCGCGCTTAACAATGGAGAACGTGACGGCCGTTTCGATTCGGTAGACGCGACAGCGAGCGCGAGCTTCAAACGGGCGCGCGGCGGCGAACGCGTAAATCAAGCGTCGTCGAGCGTCGATAGGTTATTTCGTCGATTGTAGGAGGCGCGATTGTTTTTGGAATATGCGGGGAAACGCTATCGCGAGACGTCAGGTAGATTTCGCGCAGCTGCCTCGATAAACCGTCCTCTTCGCCGCCGCCCCTATAAATTTTTCCAGTCGATAATGGGCGCACATAAGTTAAATGATTTAACGGCCTACGACATATTTATCGGAGAATCGACGGTGTAATTTCTGGCGACGATTTATGTGTCTTGGCCGCGTCGAATAAGGCTGGGAAAATATTTGCCGTCTGCCACGATGAAAATCCCATGGTCAACATTTTGCATGCGCGAACAACCCGCGCGCGATAGAAAGTGTATAATAAAATTTTACAATTATATTGTGCCAGCCGAGGATTATTCGAGGTCGCTCCGACATTTAAATTGTATTATCGATCTTTGTTATTAACTTGCAAGCGGGCTATATACGATTATATCGCAATCGATATTATATTATGTTCCACGTGAGCGTGCGCATTCTTTTCATTCTCTGAGAATATTGCAATATTTTAATTAATACGCATAAAATATATTTTCCCTGAAATATAACCCGTGAACGCACACTTGTGCGCGCACAAAACATGGCACGAATGATGCGAATAAATGCGGCCGCATCGGGGGGACATGACTGTATATACCACGTTATGGCGAATCGTTGATGAAACAATAAGCGTCCATTACGAATTGATCTCGGTACTCGCGGAGGGACAAGCAGCAAATTGAAAATGATCACTGGAGAGACCCGTCGAAATCCAAGCTTAACTCGTCGAGTCATTAGTGTTCCCATCGATCTCTAGTGTCACTTTGCGTTAACGAGCCACCACTTACACACTTCACAGCCGTCTATTCGCGTCGTGTGTGCGCCGGAAATTCCAAGTCCGTATATTTTTCTGTCTAAATCATTACGAGGGTAAGGGAAGATCTCGTTGTGGGCGCGTGCTCCGAACCTGCGATCTTGAAAAATTAATTTCCGGTTTGCGCGTTGGTCACCGGAAAGTCGTCCGGTAGTCCCGAGTCATTGTACGCTCCCGTGATACCCACAAAGGCAAAGTTTCCCCGAGACGAGACTTTAATTAATTGAAGTGATCCCGCACACTTTACCAGAGCGCCGGCAGTTCTCGGCGAGAAATTTCTCTCGCCCCGACCCCGGCCCAGCTAACTTGGCTAGTTGTTAGTTGCGGTCGGAGGTGGATTCGGCCTGTCCGGCTGACCACTTCCACCTCTTTCCACTTACTGTCTTTCACTTTTCCCGCTGCACTTTCGGGCCGGTCTACATATTATCTCTCTCTCTGTCGTTTGTCCCCGCGGCACGCTTTGCTTTTCTCCTTTTTCTCTTTGCATCAGAATTAAATGGATCGTTTGATTCACTACTCCACATCTATTTTACTACCAAATTAGTAGCCCGTTAAAATTTACTTTATTTACGTTCCAATTATTATCATTTCAATTTTTCTAAGGCTTTTACATGCCCGATAATTAAGAAGTATTTTTCTTCTGCTTGAATAATCTTAATAACGTCTCATGTATATTTCCTTATTTATACTTTTAATAACATTTTATTATCTATTTGCATAATAGTTTTTAGAGAAACCTTTCTGTAAATTTTTTAACGCCTTTTGGTATTTGAAAGCGATTAACAATGTCATGTAACGCAAGTATTCCGCTTGCGTCCAATTAACATGACGTATGAGTTCGGCGCGAGGTTCATTACACCAGATCAAACGCAGTCCTCGATTAAACCTGATCTAAAATGTTGCGGCTACAAAAATGCCTCGTTATGCAGCCGCGTCACTTGGCTCGAAATTTCATTCTGAATATGAATCATGATCCTAATCACGTTTGATTGTTACTTCCATATCTGGCCCGATAGTCATTGACAGTTGGTAGCGAATATCTAATTTACGCCTCTGGTCGAACGACGAATAATCCACGAGCCGATCGAAAATAATCGGGGCGTGTAACGTGTACGCGAAAGAAGGAAGGGAGAATCTGGTTCAACCTCCAAATCGAAACGCTGTTATTCCATCCGCCGCTTTTATAATTAAACCGCCCGAATTTATTCGCTAGTATTCCGTTTTCAATCACGACAGGATTAGTTAGTGCGCAGCGGTTGTGTTACCGTCGATATAAAAAAAAAAGAAGAAAGAAATACCGAAATTCACGGGAAAGCAATTTTTCACCCGATTATCAGTGTTTTCTCTCTTGATGTCCGCAACAAATCGCATTCCGTTCCGTCTGATTGCTCCGCGTCAGGCGATCGAAAACGTATATGACTTATGCATCAGTCGCGTTGCATTAGTGCGAGGCACGAGAACGGGCACGATGAAGCGGCCCGATCACGCGATCAACATTGTCCGCTTTGTTATCGCGCGAATCGGCTGGCAGCGGGCGACAGGCGTATTAATTTTGCGGATCGCCGGACGTGAATCGCATAGATGCGTTCACGTGTGGCGGCCCGGGAATTGTATGTATTATATACTAGAGTTATATAGCAGCCTATAAATACCTAAGACTAATTATTCTAGAGGCTATGATAGAGATAGTGGCTGAGAGTGCGAGCCGGCCACGACGTCAATCGTCCGTTTCCAGACCCGGTGTTCTTTCGAACGTCGCGTTTGCCCTCCGCGCCGTTTCAACTCGCGAAATCGCGCGACTTCCCTCGCGAATCCCCGCTTCGCCACGCGGAACGCACGGCGTGGCCGACTCCCAGAACTTTTCGAGAAATGAAAATGACCGGCACTTATGCAACTCGTTACTCTAGCCTTTCAATTAAGATTTGCATAATAACTGCGTTCGAAAGTTCGGCCCGACCCGCTTCGCGACTTCGCGCATCATCACTTCCGATGAAATATGAATCGTATCGGGACCGATACGGAGCGAAAAGCGAGTCGAACCGTCAGATAAGAAAGATTTTCTACGATCGGGGTCAATAATTACGTGGATACAATATTTACAAATGAAAAATGTAAAGATATACATAGTACAAGTATATAAATGTATAATATACTCGGCTCTTACTAGGATTCAAGTAAATGCATGCACTTCAGGGAATTTTAATATATAAAAGAAATATATATATGTATATATATAATAATATATATATAATACTTTTGAATAAGAGAGATGCGAAGCAACACTAGGATAAAAGTTACGTACCCTTCGATTCTTTCTTTTTTTTTTTTACTACATTCGCAATACCGTAATGGCACGTGAAAAGAGTACGAGGTACATCGAAAATAATTTACGCTCCGTACGGAGTGTCTCCGAGGGAGCGGACTTAAAGTTAATGAAAAAACTTTTGCTGCAGTGGCGCTACCGCCGCGTTATTTCTCGCAGCTTTTCTGAAAAAGACAATCTTAAAAATCTTAATTCTCTCTCTTAGGAATGTAGAGGGGGTGGGGGTGTGCCCACCGGACAAGTAGCAGCCGTTTAAAGAGTCCATCGAAGAAATTCAACGTGGGCCGCTTACTCGTGGGGGGAAATGTGTAGTTTTATATTTACGATAATAGAGTCGCACCAGCTTGTTTCGCGTCGATTGCCACGTCGATTCGCGAATCGATGTAAAACTGTTTGCACGGTTGCTGGGCTTGCCGACGTTTTCGCGACGTAAACGGTAACTCTTGAAATATTGACAGCCTAGAATCGCGAGCGTGTTACCAGAAGTCCCATGGGTTAGCCTCATCGATGCGTGGCAATTGCAGCTAAATCACGATAAACTACGTAGTAGCGCGCGAACGAGCGAGAATTTCATGTACCGTGAATATTTTCATTCGCGTCTCAAACAGTTTTTCGGCCGTCGTTACTCTCCGTTTGTTAACACGGGAAGAATTAAATTTTGCTCTCTTATTTTACGCTATTACCATCTGAAAACTGCATATCTCCGATTTAAATACCTTCGCGCAAAGTAAATCGTTCCAAACAATGAAATCTTTTCCCCGAGTTTCAGCGCGCGGTACTTTGGGAAATCAGTTTGCGCGCGTATTTTTACTGGGTACACTTTATTAACACAATGGTTACGAGCGTAGTTAGTACGCGGCTTTTTGTCGCTTTAATTAAGAATTCTATTATGAAAGGGATTGGCCACAGCCCTCTCCTCTCGCGCCCGGGACTGAAATGCTCCTAACAAATTTGTTAGTTCGAAGCTACTGGTTTGTCAATACTAAAATGAGAATCTCTACGCAGATGTAACGAGGCCAGATTACCTGTTGTACATGAGGATATCCGGTTTCCAAAGCTTATTCGGCGTAATTCGAAGGTCCTTCACTCCGCCGTACTCGGTCTCGTTCCACTGGAGGTTGTAGTCTGTCCACTCCTGCGCAAACACAGAAATGGAAAAATTATGAATTAAAAAGTATGAAATAACGTTTCGAGCGTTCTTTGAACGTAGCACAACGTTATAATTCATTTTCTCTAATAACTCGAATACTTTTTCACAGTTTTGTGGAAATATATGGGATAATTTCTGCCAGATTATATCCACCTGAGAGTTTTAACACAGCCATCTGAATTAAGATATTTATCGCGCAATTTATACATATATAGAAAACGGAGAGAGAGGGAGAGAGAGAGAGAGAGACGATCGTTGCACAATAGATACCTTATACCCATGAGTACCTATATTTAGACGATAAATATGAAAATTGTTGCCATACATGCAGTAATATAAAATGGATAATCTGAGGCGCTATTAATTCAGATTTAATTACGAGTACAATTTTCCCGTTTAATAAACGCGATGAATGGTTCTTCCGACCAATCCCCATTATGCGAAATAAATGTTCACGTAATTTTCAATTTTCGTCTCTTTATTCAAGTAATATAATTATAAAATCGATATAGGCGCTTGACGTTTGCTTTGACGTTTATACTATTGCCGCGATCGAAGTACAGCACGCATAAAACAACCATAATATTGTAGCGAATAAAAATAATTTATGAGAAAATTTTTAATAGATTCGGGAAACCGCTTTACCGTCTGAAATTACTTTAATTTAATCGTACGTTACACGTAAAACACGACCTGCGCGACGATAAATATGAAAAAAATAGATATATTGGTCGTACAGAATAGACGAAGAAAATAAACAATAATTACCCTTTTTTATGGAAGACTCTAATTCCATATTTTCCGATTTTCGCGAGTACTTTGTTACGCTGTAATAGAGTTTTTATCGCAACGTAATTTTTTTTTGTAGTTTATGCTTGATGTTCCACATAATTTCGATAAAATTTCGAGCGATGATAGCGCTACGTAGAACCTGGTTCCGAACTGTGCACCATCCATTCTCAAGTATCCATGGTAATAGGGGCCGATGGATTCACGGAACCTTTGGCTGCGAATAAATTTACACGAGTTAATTAATCCCCGTTGTATAAAAGATTAATTATCCGCGTAAATTCTATCCGCTCACGGAGTTCGACCGGCCAAGTTGAGCGAAAGAGATCAGAAAGAGAGAGAGATAGAGAGAGCAAGTTAGATAGGAGAGAGAGAGAAAGAGTCAAACACGAATTTGGCCTTCATATTAATTAGAGTGCTCGTAAACAAACGAAACTCTTCTGGATCGTCGTATCCGCCACGACAGTTTGTGATCCACTCGAAACTCCCGGCAAGGAGCGCCGCTACCGTTGGTTCGGGCTAAAAGCCATATTCAACTTTAACGATCAAAGTTTCACGAGGACTTGCGTCTTACATGTACGATTCGGTCGTAATGAGAAATGCTTTTCCGCTGATGCGCGACGACGCATTTTTTGCGGAATTATCCGCGACCGCGAGGTGGTTACGCACTCTCGAATTACGGGCGCAGGGCGCCGCGCATCCGGAGTAATTATCAACGAAGTAACAATGTGAACATTATACTCAGGATCCACTACGGATATTACACAGAATCGAGTAATTTAAATTAGAATTATCACCGTTTGTACACCGGAGCGTAACTGTATATTTCATTTATATCGCGCGCCATATGATAAACCCGTGAGCGTTTTTAATCCAGCGTCGCCGCTGTTACCTCTGTACAAAGGGCGCGCGCGATTTATGCGAAAAATTATTATGAGAGAAATGGCATCGCGGGTTGCAACGCGCGGCGAAAGATATCTCCGGCGAACTCGATAAATTATATTTTTTCCCGGTGTGGCCGCGTTACGTTCGCCCAAGTGGGATTCCTCCGGAAGACCGGAGCCCGCCGGCTCGACCCGGATATCCAACGGAGTCACGTAGCGATCGCTAAATATTCATCGCTACCGGCCGCGAAACGGCCGCGAATCAGAAAAGCGTAATTTCTCGAGTGCGAAGCCCGCGGAATTCGAGGGTAAGGCCGCACGCGGCATGCGCGACCTGGTTTCGGCGGCGACGACGACGGCGCCGGCGGCACGCCGCCTGCATAGGAAACGCCGCGCCAGCGGCACGTTTTATAATGTATACTTCAATTTCCGGTCTACGCGCCAAGTCCGCGGCGTTTGCTCATTAGATTACGCGGCTGAATTGCACAAACGAGAAATTCAGCGGGGGCCCCGCGCGGCGAAAGTCGCCGCGCCGTCCCGTTACGCCGAGATTTTCGGAGTTCCGTTTTCCGACGGCGGACAGCCGTCGTTTTCTACGGCGCGCACGTTTTGGCATCCGCATCCCCGCGGCTCACGGAAGCGAACCGTAATGAAGACCCGGCGGTGACGTTGATGACGCGGCAGCGACGAGGACGACGTTCCCCGAAGAACTAAGTTTCGTCTCGTCAAACGACCGATTGTCGCCAGTCTGTTTTATATCCGCCGCGTCGTAACCGCGTGCCAACTTCCGCCGAATCGCTTTGACATTCTCGGACCGAGAATCGTAGAATCGAGAGAGAGAGAGAGGGGGGGGGGGGGGGAGGGAGGAGGGAGAGATAGGAAATTGTAAGTACGATTCTTTTAACTATTTGTCCAATCCAAGGACAGTGCTGCAAAACAGTTCAATAAATAGTATAAGTAATATTTTAATTAAAAAAAAATATATATCCATGTTACTGTGTGAAGTCAAATTCAGCAAACGTTTTTAATAATAAATATAAATTGTACCTTCGTTTACGATTTAACGAATATTCCAAATATATACCGTTTATAAAGTCGACACGCTGAGTACAACTGTAGACTATAGAATAAAGAGCTCGCGCGAATTGTCACCGTACACATGTCTGCGGGTGAAATGCTCTAGCGCTTGTCTAGCTATTAGTGCCATGTAATGGCAGGTAGCAGAATAACGTCGATTGAGTACTCAATTAGCGTGATTTGTACCCTTATCATTAAGTTTGTGCGGGGTAAATGCCGCTGGTTGACTCCGACGCGGTGTGTTTAACTTTACAGCGGCAGATTTCAAACATTTACTTTTTAATTAATATGTTACTACGGGCGGTATATTGATTTTCCAAATGGTAGCGAATTTACTTATTTACTCACTTAATACCGGGCTAAGGTAAATTCTGGTCTAACATAACGGAACGTTATACGGTAACATAGTTTCCAAGTTGGCGCGAGAAATCTCCGTGGTAAAAAATACGTCGCATTGTTTCACGAAGCTAGTTTTACAACGAGCACTCGGTACGCTATTACTTAACTTCGCGTTCGTGTATTCCCCTATGTAGTATGTACCTCGCAATACTTAACGAGCCATAACTCTCGCGTTTTCCGCCATCCGGGGCGGAAAGCTACTACCTTAATGCTATAATCGAACCCTTTCCACGTCAAAGCGAACGTGAGAGTGATGCAGAAGAAAAAAATGGGGTCATCGGCCACAATAGCTACTAACGCAGATGGTTGGCTAATAAAAATCGTGTGAGTTGTATCCAGAAAAAAAAACTGTTTCTTTAAATATATTCATCGTACACTCTGCGTAAAATAGTCGAGTCCTTCGCGCCAAGGGAGGAACGCGTAGCTTGATTAGTTATATACAATTAGCGAGCGAGCTCATACTCGACCTTTCTTCTACGAAGTTTATAAGTGAGATGATCCGCGAGGACACGCCCGAAACTTCGATGATCAAAAAGGTAGCTAATAAAAATCGTGTGAGTTTATCCAGAAAAAAAAACTGTTTCTTTAAATATATTCATCGTACACTCTGCGTAAAATAGTCGAGTCCTTCGCGCCAAGGGAGGAACG